GCACTTTTGAATTGCCTAGCAGCTGGTCATGAAGCAAAGCCCAGAGCTTAGAAGGTCAGCTGTCCTCCCAACTACAGGCATGCTATCCATACGGCTGCTATTGGAGCACGGAGAGTGAGTTTATACAAAGGAAAAGGTGGCTCTTAAATAAGTCATGGATGAATGCTTTAAAGGTGAACCTCAACATTTAACCAAATAAGATTCCAAAAAGGAGGGGGAAGTCATTGTTAAGCAATGGAATCAGTGCCGTACTTGAATAAAACTCACCCCTTTAGATGCTCAGAAATCTGCGTAGCACACTTTATGGTTCCTCTACCCAAAAGAATGACACATACCAGGCAACGGCAGCTCTGATTTCTCTGTTATGAAGGTCAATCCTAGCACTAATTACATGGTTTTACAACAGACATGTAGGTTCCCCCCAATTTAGGCATCTCAAAAAGCACGTTTTTCATTATTAGAAACACATTTGCAGTTGTGGCCTGGCTGATACTGGATCACTACATTGAGAGGAGGGTCTGCAAGGAAAGGACAAATCCATATTTGGAAGCCTGCACTTGCTGGCCAGCTCATCAGAGTACCCTTCTCACCTTGGTGCTGCCGCTTAAGAGCTAATTGACTAGTGGTGAGTCCTAAGGGCTTATTTACACAGTGCGTTAGCACACACCAGTGGGGTGTGAATTCTAATTTGCACCAGTGTGTGTCACGCACTAGCTGGCCCATGTGGATCCTGCTGACGTGCACTAAAAATTCCCTTGTGTGTGTTAATGTAGTTCTATTTCAAACAGTACCACGTTAATGTGCACTAGGGAACTGTCAGTGTGCGCCAGCAGGGTCCACACGAGCCAGTTAGTACGTGACATGCTGGTGTGGACCGGAAGTCACACCCCACTGGTGCACACTAACACACCATGTAAACAAGCCCTCAGCAACAACATTAGGATCTGGATTTTGGGGTTGGCTGGATTAGCCTCAACTCCAAAATTAACCACTGACTGACACTCACACATGGGATGCTAGTCTTTAAAATGAGGAACAGGCAAAATACTGGAGTCAAAGACTCCAAGTGACTTAATATTCCGAGTTAAAGGGGTTGCTCTAACCTGTTGTCTGGAATTTAATCTCTTTGAAACAATCTGCAGAAACATGCAGCAAGACGTAACGGATATACGATAGAGGAAAGAGATTTACCTCTAAACATGACACAATCACACATTAATATGAACAACTTCTCAACCACATCTGACAGCAACTTGATTAAAACAGGAAATTAAAGGAAAAACTCAACTACACCGAAGTTTCTGTATTTCTTGCCTTCTCAAGAACATCCCCTTCCGCAGCCAGTGCCAAGAACAAAGCTGATACTAAGGATGTGATATGGATAAGGATATGAAGTGGTACTTTTCAGACTGATTTTTATTTAAAAGGAATTTATGCTAGTTGAAAGATGCTGAACTGACAGACCTGAAAATTAAGACTTCTATTTATCTCCAAAGCAGATGCAGAACACAGAGAGACAAGGCAAACTTCCAACATCGAAGTGTTTGTCTTAGAGGGACTCCATGGACCATTCAGACTTTGGTCTCTCAGTTAAGACTGACAACAAGGGAGGCATTTGTGCTATAGACACTTGTCCACTAGGATCTAGTTAGAGAAGCATTGATTAATTTCACACAGATGATTAAGTAGCTATGAGGTAGGCAGTAAACAATATTGAACTGACCCATTGGTGACCCTTTACCAACCCACTGGGGCATACACTTTGTAGAAATTCAGAACCCTGGGCAGAGGGTTCAAATAATGTTAAAA